GATTCACAGCTACTTGGGAGGCCGAGGCGATAGGATCGCTTGATTTCAGGAGTTTGAGACCAGCCTGGGCAACATAGCAAGACCCTGTCTCAAAAAAAAAAATGAGTTTGTCCTATTGAGTGTTCATTCCCTAGTGGTGGGGGGAGGTCTCTGGTTGACTCCCCTGACCTCCCCCCAAATTCACTGCAGGTGATCCACAGGTAGATAATAGAAGGGGAGGAGGATAAACATATTTCTTCCACCATGTCTCTGATAAATACCCAAAGATAGGAATGATATTATAGATGACATAGGAAGAGTTCCTCAATTAATTCCCAAACCCAAGTCCCATCTCAGAAGGAGACAAATTCTGCCCAAGAAGCAAACAAGACGGTGAAGGGGCACAGCTCCATGGTGCCAGGTGCAATCCCGTGAAGCTCTGGCTTGGTGCATCACCAGGATGCACTTCATCCTGCAGCTATCCCAGCAGATCTCTTACTCCACTTCCAAAAGCCAGTAGTTGGACCAGAGCTCTGGTAGCTGCTGCTGCTACCACTGGGGAAGCCCAAATGAATAGTTACTCTTGCTGATTGTTTTCCTTTGGGAGCTGGCTAAGCCTCTGTCTGTTTATAATAGCGTTGGCTTAACTCTGGATCCTGCCCTGAACTGAGTGTGAAGACGAGACTATTTCACCCTGGCTGTGCCCTCCGAGTACACTATATCATGCCCATCACCACTTCCCACTTCCCTGCGGCAGCCCCTCTGTCCACTATCCAAGTTGGCTGGCCATGGACTGAAAGGACAGAGAAAGAACAAGTCAAGGAGCAAGACGAAGGAGACTAACATGACCCAGAGGTCACGCCTAACGTCACAGACTTTTTAACTGGAAGGAATTTTAGTGGTCATCGGGATCACTTGATCCCAACCTCATTAGGGACACAGATCTCTTTAATGATCAGATGAAAGTGATTGAACTCTCTCTCTCTAGAAAAATATACCTCCCCAAATTCCAGGATGTTTCCTAGACTCCCTGAAATCCATCCACCTAGACTAAGCTTTTCATTTTACAGACAAGGACACGGAGGCCCCAAGAAGCTGCAGGGACTTGCCCAGGGTTACACAGAGAAGATAACTGAATTCAGACTCAGCTCTCCTGACTGCCAGTATAGGACCATCACCCATACTAGGAGATTTCCACTGTACGTTGAGCCCTATATTGGGAATTATGGGAAATCAGGGTGCTTACAGCCAAGGAATAGAACTCAGACTCATGAAAGGAAGCTAAGATCAGTTATCAAGCAATATCCCTTCCACGGATTCCTCTTTGGAAGGTAGAAGCTAATGCTGTCCATTAGTTCAGCAGGCGCTCACTGAGCACCTATGAGCATCTCCTAAAATCTCTAATCACTGGAGATTAATTATTTATCAGAAATTCAGACTCATTGTCATCTCAAGCCTGAAGAAGATATTGAGGTCCTCAAAATGATGGTTTTTTTCTGTCGTTTTTTTTTTTGAGACAGAGTCTCACTCTGTTGCCCGGGCTAGAGTGCCATGGCATCATCCTAGCTCACAGCAACCTCAGACTCCTGGGCTCAAGCGATCCTTCTGCCTCAGCCTCCCGAGTAGCTGGGACTACAGGCATGTGCCACCATGCCCGGCTAATTTTTTTCTATATATATATATTTTTAGTTGTCCAGATCATTTCTTTCTATTTTTTAGTAGAGACGAGGTCTCGCTCTTGCTCAGGCTGGTCTCCAACTCCTGACCTTGAGCGATCCACCCGCCTCTGCCTCCCAGAGTGCTAGGATTACAGGCGTGAGCCACCGCGCCCGGCCTCAAAGTGATGTTTTGTGACTTTGTTCCGGTGATGGGTATCCCACCCTGAAATGTTTATTGCAAAGTTCAAGTAAGGCAACTTTCCTGTGCTTTCTATTTCATGGACCTTGGCATAAGAGTTAAGCATCATTTTAATGATGGAGATGAGAGATTGGACCGAAGGACACCTAAGTAGATCCTACTGCAGCCTTAGCTATTCAACAAAGGAGCAGAAGAACCTGTGTCATTGGGGAGTTCTCAGTGACGGCTACTCAGGACATACATTTTATAAGTAGCTGGAGAAGAACCAGATTCTAAATTTATCTTTCTAGAAAGAAGCAGGAAATGCTTTTGCCTGATATTTATTTTATTGGTTGGGTGCTAAGAGGCAGCCTTTCGTGACAGGAAAACCTGGTTGTGGAGCCTGGAGACTTGCCCTGGAAGAATCCGAGCTTCTCTGCTGACCAGCTGGGTGACTTGGGTCAAGGCTCTTTACTTCTTCGAGCCTTGGTTTTCTCATCTAAAAAGTGGGAATAATATTATTACTATCCTCATCCATGTTGTTGAGTCAACATTAGTGGCTCTTCTCCCTAGCTTTACGGCCTATTTTTTTTTTTTCTTTTGTAGCACATACTTCATTCTGCCTTGTATTTTTGGTAATAGCTTCCAAGTCTGTCTCTCTTACCAGATGGTAACTTCTTAAGGGCAGGAACTCAGCCCTCCTTATCCTTGGGAACTCAGTCCCCAAAACCCAGAGCAGCACTTTGTATGCAATGGGTGTATCAGTCAGGGCGCCCAATCAGGAGACAGAAACCACACATTATCTTGAACAGGAGGAATGTAATATAAGGAATTATTAATCTTTGATAGGAGCAATTATAAAGATGTAAAGAAAACTCTACAGGGTACCCTAAAGCTGAGAGAATGTCCAAGGCAGGACAAACTTGGAAGGGGCCCCCCTCCGGGGCTGAGCTTCAGACATCATTGAAGAAGATGAGGTTGTAGCGCATAGAATGGCGAAGAAGTTCGCTGGGTTGCCTGAGCCAGAGCTGATTCCTAGTGATGGGCAGCAGAAAGCCTTCTGGGGCACAGGCAAGATGAAGTCGGTGGGTAGGTGTGTGGAGGGAGTCAGGGCACGCTACCAAGGCCTGGAGCACACGGTGCCTGCGTGGAAGGCAGGGGGATCAGTGCAGCGCTTACTGGGCCCAGGCCAGGGCTGCAAGCTCACTGAGCCACTGTGCACTCCAGGCACGCAGCTGGGGCTGAGCACCACTGCAAGTCCCCACTGACAGACTCCATAGCCAACAAGATCCAAACCTGGAAGAGAAATGCCCTCCTTAGTGCTGTGTCCCTCCAATGCCCTCTGCTGACAATGCTTAGCAGTGTCGTGCTCACTGTCAAAGAGACACGCTTACAGGGTCCAGTCCATTGTCACAGAGACAAAAGGGTGAATTGGGAGCTGAGCAGCAACATTGCTGTAACTGGTACAATGGGTGATCAATAATGTTTGAATTAAATTAGATTGAGCCACGTACCTGCCAATGGCCCCCTTACTTCCTGCTTATTTTCCTTTCTTCGAATCCCATACATTTTACCAGCAATAAATGTCAAACCTCTTTAACTTCTTTCGTAATTTACTTTCTAGAAGCTCATTTCCCTCCGAGGTATTCTGTTTGCCTTCTTAATGAGACACTGTCTCTCTTCTCCTGGCTCACACTTAAAAGAGACTCATGCAAAAAGAAGGGGAGGGGAGAGGGACTGACTCATGCAGACAATCTGAGACCCAGAACTTCATTTCACAACTTATTTCTCCACTGGAACTTGTTTCTCCACCATCAATTTCATTTAGAGGCAATCCACTTGTCCCTCCCAAACATTTTAGAGTGTCCCAAAACACTTGACTTCAAGTGGCAGTGGAAGGAATCAGAGCTGATCCAAAAACCAATCTTTCTCTGCCTTTAAGGAAAATGCAGTGGCCACCTCAGGCCAGACCCAGGAGTTAATCTCCTTGGACGAACCTGAAGAGTCAGGTCTCCAAATATTTTAGAACGAAATAGGCAATCGAGCAAATAGCAGGCTTGGAGGATAGTTACAAGCACATATATTATTCAGAAAGCATTTGGAAAGGACTAATAGTTTCAACTTGAGAAATCAAGAAGAGTATGTAGCACCTAAAGAGTCCTGCAGATGCTCTCTTGTGGGAAATCGTGTTATTAATAGGCATCAAATTTGAGTCAAGACAATGTTCTTAGGCATCAACCACCCTGTTCTTGCAAAATATTTCATTCTCTTAGGAAGAGTCAAATGTAACTAGTATTAACTGATGATTCCCTGCAGGAACTAGCTAAACAGTGAGATGGGAGTACAGTTAAGACTTCCTCTAAGAATGAGGTGGTTTTCCAAACTCAATCTGTTTACCATCCTTCAGACGGATGATCATCCCTTTAGACGAGAAAAACGGCAATGGGAAAAACCAGGGGAAATTAATCTTTTCACCAAAATTTGTATCTATATATTGTGGTTGTCTTACATATCTTTTTTGCAAGTGATAGCCATTCTGGACCAGTGTAACCTAGAGTGGACTAGCAGTAAGCCATCTGGGTATCTCATTACTTCTCTGAGTACCAAGGAAATCGTGCTCTTAAATGATCAAGAAAAATACGTGTGTTTGTCCTTGTATAATGGGGTCATGATTTATTTTCTCCTTTTGGCTTATCTGTATTTTTTGCAATGAGAGTGTATTATTTGTGAAATTAAATATATATACAAATTTTAATGAAAACACACACCTTTTGGGGTATATCATCGCTTTTTGAATCAAATCTAGCCAGACCCTTCCCAGCCTCTTCATTCTCCTACTCGGATTAACTGCCAAAAATCAGAAGACTTCAGTTTCAGAAGAGATTTTTTGGAAGAGATTAATTTCGTCACTCTTGAACTTCTAAAAAACAGCCTACTATTTCCTCTGACCCTCACCAAGCAGTGATTGATGCTATACCTGCCTCCGATATGACAAAACCTAAGCGATGAATAAAAAGCCTTTTATGATTCTGAGGCAGCGAAAGTGCTAGCCAGGGGCACTGAGCCACGTGAAGATGCTCTGCGGGGTGTCATTCTGCCTCGGGCACCGTTGTGCCGCCCTGCGGGCACTTTGGAGGCTATCACCTGGTATCACTAACCTTTGATATCTCCCCGTCCTTTTTCAGATTTTTGACAATGAAGCCAAAGACCTGGAGAGAGAAGTTTGCTTTATTGATATTGCCTGCGATGAAATTCCGGAGCGCTACTACAAAGAATCTGAGGTAAGCAATAGATGGGGTGACATGTGGGCGAGTTTCATTCGTTCATTCATTTCGCAAATATTTATTAAGCACCTCCTAACCTGGGAGACTTCCATCTGTCTCTGTGCTGATTCGATTTGCTTTCATATCTTGCTGGGTTCTTTAATGTGGTTCTCAAAATTAAGTCCCTACTCTTCAGGGCTCATCATTGGCTCCAGCTGTGACTCAATTTTGATTTAGTTTCCTGTCTTCTAAACTCTACCACTTTTCTGGGTGACATCAATATCCACAAGGCTGAGCCTTCGAACACACCCGCCCCTCTGAAAACCAGCAGCCTGTCTCCCACCTGCATGCTCTGGGAGGGCAGGAACTGCGTTTTATTTGTATCTTTGGAGTCTAACACAAAGAAAACTCAATCTGTCCTCAAAACTCTGACAACTCATCCCAGCACTGAGTCTCTCTCTCAAAATAGCCTGCACCTTCCTTAGGCCTTCATATTTGTTCTTCCTGGCTGAGAAATATCAGAGAATTTCTTTCTCTCTGGTTTTCACCCTACCAGAATCCTTCCTCTACCTTAGTTCTACCTGCTTGTTTTATGGTTCCTGCAAGTCACCATTTATATCCGTTTAGTTTCTTATTAATGACTGCTGACGGAACTTGGGTGACCCGCTTGTAAATAACGTCGCAACCCTGCAATGACAGCAGATGCAGGGCTATTTTTGTTGTTTAGCAACTGCCGCCAATCCCAATATGTTTGGAATCAGGGCCCCAGACTCGTCCTTGAGCCGTAACACGTGGACCTTGAAACTGCTCTCACAGATTCATTCAGGCTGATGGAAGATGTGATAAGTAAACCCATTCGCAATGAGTGCCAGCGTTACACAAGCAAACTGGGCGACCCATGTGGTTCTGGGTTTTTTGCCTCCACATCTGGGGATTCGTTTGAGTGTAAAAGTCTTACCTGATCTCAGCACATGCTTAGCTGTGTAACTGCAGGCTCGTGCTCCTCAGCCGCCGTCCCTGCAATGACCGGGGAGAGGCTGATGTGGGTCACTGTGTGGCTCATATCCACCCAAAGTCCGAGCATTTTAACTTCATCATTACGCCCTGCAGCCAACCACAACTGTGCACTTTAAGATCAACAAAGTTAAATGCTCTCTGCATAACTGTGGACCTGCTGAAGATAGAGATACACGGGGCTCCATGGACATTCTGTGGTTTCAGTACTTAACGGGGCTTTGATGACATGCAGAGCATTGTGCAAAGCATTGGGTGAAGCTGTGGCTCTTTGGGCCCCGTGGGCTGCTGTCCTGCCTGGATGTCTTGGCCTCTTTGGGAGCTCTGGGCCTTCCAGGAAGGTAGCATTGCCAGAAAACTGTGAACTAATTTCAGCTCTTCTCTTAGAGTGCTTTGGTGTGGTCCTGCGTGGTCCTCAGGGAGTTCCCTCTTGGTTCGGTAGAAAGCCTTGAGACAAATATAGAATATTAATGAAGAAATCAGCATGTCTCATTTCTAGTCAGCAGGTGCCTGACTCATTTTCCTGTCCTTTTTGCTCCAGAGAACCAGCACTAGAAAGCTGCTTGTTATCTGCACAGACATTTGAGGAGCTTTTTTCTTAAGGCTTCACAGAGTCATTCATGCACGTGTCCGTACCTCTTTCCCAGGGTCATAAAGTATTCTTCCCTGGGTGCAGTTTGATCGAGGAAATGAGAGGTCAGTAGTCATTCACCCAGTAAATATTTACTGAGTGTTCACTGAGTGTCACATGCAGTGTTAAGACAGGGACATGGCAATAAGCAAAAGAGACACTAAGGGTCCCTCCCCACAGGACACTCTGAATCTAGCAGGGGAGTCTGATGATTAAGAAATAATCACACAGATATGTATGGAGTAAAAGTCACAAGTGCAAGAAGGAAGGTACGGGGAGAGATGACAAGGAAACTGGATTTAAGAGTATGGGATCGGGAGAGATGTTCTGGAAGAAATGACAGTCATGCTGAGACCCGCTGGATGAGAAGATCTGGGGACAGCATGCCAGATGGAAGCAGAAGCATGTGCAAGAGCCCCTAGGTGACGCGTGTGAGGAGCTGGCAGAGGCCAGCGTGGTGGCAGCAGCACCCACGAGAGGAAGAAGCGCATGAAGGGAGGTTGGAAGGAGGAAGGGGCCATGCTGGGATACTTGGGTTTTATTCAAGTGCAGTGGAATGCCTTGCAAGGAATTGAAACCAGGGCATCATAGGATCTGATTTATGCTTTGAAAAGATTTCTCTGGATGGAGAATGGACTGGAGGGGGCAGAGTAGATGTCAGGAGACCACTGAGGTCATTACCGTGATATATATTATTGGTTAGTTGGGTTATACAGTGTCTTGCACTGGAGGGCTGGCAGCGGAGAAGAGGTTTGAGGTATATTTTTAAGGTAGAGTTGACAGGGATTGATCATGGACCAGATGCGGGGATGAGAGAGAAGGAGGAGTTGGGATGACCTCAAGGATTCTGGGTTGGGCAACAGACGGATGGGGGTGCCACTTACTGAAATGGGGTGATGAGAAGGGGAATGGATTTTGGAGAAAGACCGGTGGATTTGTGATGCCAGTGAGGCATCTAGAACAAATACAAGTGCATCTGGAGCTTAGGTGAGAGATACAGGCTGGAGACAAATTTGGGAGTATTTAGGGAACAGGAGATTTTTAAATCCTGGAGACAGAAGAGAGGAAGAAAACACAAAATGTAAATAGGAAAGTGGCTGAGGTCTGAGCCTTAACAGGTGGCAGTGTTTGGAGACCAGGCAGAGGACAGGGAGGCACCAGGAGACCACGAGGAATCGGTAAGAGAGGAGGAAGACGAAGGAAACGCACCAAGGAATGCAAGTTTCAAGAGGAAGAGAGTGATCAGTTGTGCTGACTGCTACTGAGAGATCAAGTAAGAAAAGAATGGGAAACTGTCCTCGAGAGCAATTCTCAACTGGGGGCGATTTTGCCTCCCAAGGGTGCTTGGCAATGTCTGGAGTCATTTCTGGTTGTCACCATATGGGGGAGGTGCTACTGGTATCTAGTGGGTAGACAAGGGCTGCTGCTAGACATCCTGTAAAACGTAGGACAGCCCCGCACGACAAAGGATGATCTGGCCTAGGATGTCACTAGTGCTGAGGCTGGGAAACCTTGTTCTAGAGGAAGAGGTTATTGAGGACGAATGACACTCTGGATTCGGCTCTCACACTCAGAGCCACCCCTTACCTGTCCTGGAGTCTTAGGGTTACTTAATGTATATGAAAGAAAGGGCCCCATAAGGCTCAGCCCTGCACACTCTTTGTCAAGTACAGGCTCCCAGAGGCTCTGCTGGTCTGTGTTGCAGGCAGAATTCTTTCTCTGTAGACCTGGCAGTTAGACCACAAAGGGCTACAGCTGTCATCAGGAGCCTGCAGTAATAGCTTAGGCAAACTATGCCCCAGGGGGACTCCCTTGCAGGCCCAACCCCACCACCATTCGGCACCCAGAATCCAGACTGCATTCGGAACCCACTCAAAGGGAGAGGGGTGAGTTTCCTGGGCAGTTTTGGTTGTTGTGTCTACCGTGAACATGCCAGGGACTGAGAATAAGAGAAACAACCAATTCAGAAGGCAAACCATTTCCAGAGAGACTTCTGCTTGGCACACTGTAAATAATTAACACTCTCCTCCTCACCACAAAAGTTTCCAACTAAAATGAAACCTGACCTTGTTCTCTGCTTAAAACCCTTCACGGCTTCTCGTTTGGAGTTCAACTCACACATGACTTCCCTCTGTGAGCTTTTCTAGGCATGCTACTCCTCCACCCACGGCTGCTCTGGAGGCAGCAAAGTTCATGCTAGATCGTGCTAGCTCATAGCTGTGTCATGAGCTCCACAAAGACAAGAGCTGCGTCTTCTCTAGCCACTGCCACGGCACCAGCCCTTAGCAAATGCTCACTCAACAGTTGTTGAATGAATGAGCGAGGAGCTTTGTTTTTTCCTTCCAGCAGTGACAATTTCAGAGCCAGTGCTATCAAAGAAAACGAATTTGTTGCCATTAAGCTAGCAGTTGTGAATCAGAGTTCCTTTTTTTCTTTTTAGTCTGAAACATACAGCTTTGTGGGCCTTTTCTTCCAATCCATCTTTGTTAGTTGCCTATGTCAGCATCATAAATGGGAACGCTCTCCGTGGATACAGCCGGAGTGCTGATGGGCTGAATCTGTTCTGAGGTTTTTTGATGCTGATGAATCCATACCGGGGTTATCTAGGTCATTCCTCTTTACCCAGCTACTATCACACACACTGCCTGGTCAAAGGAGGGGACTGAAGCACTTTCTTTTCTTTTTCCATTTCTCCCTGGAAACCTCCAAGCCACACAGTGAAGACCGCCTCTCTCACAAAGGTGACCAGTGCTTGGAATTTTCCACTGGGTGCCCTCTGCCTGGCAGCCCTCGTGCCACCACTAACCAGGGATTTAGAAGGATGCTTTGGAGACTGAGGATCAGCTGATAGCCCAGCCCAGCAACCTCCTTATTCACATTTTTGCAGCGCTGCTATTTTCCCATCCAAATCAAGGACCTGAGCTTCAGTTGTCAAAAGTGTCTAAGCTTCAAGTTTTGTTCTCATATTCATTGGCAGACTCTGCAGGGCAGTGCTGTATTATGGAGGGAAAAAAATCAGTGTGATTTCTTAGGCAGAGAGAGTGCTTCCATTAGCAAACACAGACCACCAAGACCCTGCCCCCATGAGAGTCATAAAGCTGTTTGCACCGAGTCACACAGACAGAGACCGTCAGCACCACCAAAACAGCAAAGGGAGTGAAGCCGGAATCTGAGCAGGTTGTACTTGTTATGTGGTTGATACGTGGCTTCTTGCTTCTGCCAAGATTTTCATCCTGACTCTTTGATGCTCTGCCAAGATTTCAAGGTGAAGATCCCAGTGGAGGAATGAGAAACTCCACACGATAAGTCTAAGTCGCAGCATGCCTTCAGAGGCCACAGGCAGCCAGGCCACACCCGCAAAGCTAAGTTGACG